GGAGGGCCTGGGTGGCTGGAGGGCCTGGGCTGGGGGGCCTGGGCGGCTGGAGGGCCTGGGCGGCTGGAGGGCCTGGGCGGCTGGAGGGCCTGGGCTGGGGGGCTTGGGCGGCTGGAGGGCCTGGGCTCGGGCGGGCGCGGGTCCCTGGGGAGACGGGCCCCAGGGGGGTGGGGGGCCGGTGCAGGCGCCAGAGGCCAGCTTGTGCCTAGGGGAGGGCCCGGGTCCTGAGGCGCTCTCTCCCCAGTTCCAGGACTACCACAGTTTCGTCACCCACGGCTGCACCGTGGACAACCCTGTCTTGGAGCGCTTCATCGCGCTCTTCAACAGCGTCTCCCAGTGGGTGCAGCTCATGGTCCTCAGCAAGCCCACTGCCCCGCAGCGGGCCCTGGTCATCACACACTTCGTCCACGTGGCAGAGGTGCCTCCCCCGCCCCCCACTTCTGCCCTCTCCACTCCGCTGGCCGCTGTGGGGCCTGACCGCCTCCTCCTCCCCTCGTGTGTCCGCAGAAGCTGCTGCAGCTCCAGAACTTCAACACGCTGATGGCGGTGGTGGGGGGCCTGAGCCACAGCTCCATCTCCCGCCTCAAGGAGACCCACAGCCACGTCAGCCCTGAGACTGTCAAGGTGCCCAGGGCTGGGGCGACCCTGCTTGGTCTCGTCTGGGCATTCCTGTCCTCGTTTGACAGACGAGGAAACTGAGGCTCTCGGGGAAAGGCTTGTCCCGGCTGCCCAGTGGAGTAACGGGGCTGCCCGCTCCAGGGCCCGCACTTTCTTCCTCTTCGCATTTTTTTTGAACGCATGGACAGAGAGAAAAATGTCGAAAACATGTACATGTTTAAAGTAAATTATCAAGAAAACCCCGGTGTAACCAGTACCAGGTCAAGAAGTGGAATATTGCCAGCCCCCACCTGGCCTGGCGGGGGGCTCCCGCGCCTCATTTTTGTGACAGTGACCACCTTGCTCTTCTGTCGAGCCGCACCCCAAAACCATGGGGAGGGCGTTGCCCAGTTCAGAAGCTTGCACACGTGGAACTGTTGACATCATCTGTTGCGCTTCTCCTCTGTGTTCGCGGGCCTTTGCTCACCTGCGCTTTGCTGTCTCGGAGCATGTTCGTGCTCCGCCGCGCCCAGCTGCGTGTCCACTCTCCTAATGGACATTCGAGTTCTTCCCTGTTTGGGTTGTTACAAACCACGCAGCTGAGAACCTTTTTCTAGTCTCTTGCCCTGAGCTGCTTTGCTGCCTGAGCCTCAGTTTCTCCTCCTGTTAAATGATGGCGAAGTCTGTGCCCAGGCCTGGTGCGGAGGTGTGGTGTTCCATAGCGGGTGTTCCCCTGAGCACTCTGACCCTCAGGCCGGGAGAGCCAGGGACAGCAGGGGAGGATGTGAACCCCCCACCCTGCCCTGCTGACTTCCCCTCAGGGCTCCGGGGCTGGGGACTGGCGCTGAGGATGTATGTGTGTGACTCTGCCCTTTGCCTGCAGCTCTGGGAAGGGTTGACAGAACTAGTGACGGCCACGGGTAACTATGGCAACTACCGACGCCGTCTGGCAGCCTGTGTGGGCTTTCGCTTCCCCATCCTGGGCGTGCACCTCAAGGACCTGGTGGCCCTGCAGCTGGCCCTGCCTGACTGGCTGGACCCGGCTCGGACTCGACTTAACGGGGCCAAGATGAAGCAGCTGTTCTGTATCCTGGAGGAGCTGGCCATGGTCACCAGCCTCCGGCCACCCGTGCAGGCAAACCCAGACCTGCTGAGCCTGCTCACGGTGAGGGACTGGCTCACGGTGAGGGACTGGGGCAGGGACACTGGTTACCAGCTGACCACTCCCCACAGCGGGTCCTGGGTTTACAGGGCATATAATCCAGGAACTGAGCCAGCCTCCTGTAGGGTTCGGAGTGAACTGAGCTGGGGTCAGACTCTCGACGGGGCTGGCTGTGGGCTTGAAGCATTCCCAGGGCCTCAGCTGGGGCCCTGCAGGGGTTGTGTTGGGACCAGCCTCTGGACAGCAGGTACAGGGGTGGTTTCTCAAACATGATCCTGAGCTCTGAGGTTCTGGGCTTGGCCCTGGCTAGGAACTGCATTCTGGTCCATATCCAGACAAGGCTCTGGGCCTTGGACTGGGCTGAGGTCTGGTGTGAATTCGTAGTTGCTGGTAGGCACTGGACAGGGACCAGGTAGGGGCAGTCTGAGCTGGAGCCTGCACGCTGGGTCAGGTTCCAGGTCAGGGGTGAGTCTCAGAGCTCTTGGCTGGGTTCTGACTTGGCTGAGACCTTGCTCGAGTGTTGTTTGAGGGTTTGGGGCCCAGCTGTGGGTTCTGGTCTCTGTGCCAGGCTGCTGCTGTTGGGCGCGTTTTGGGCTTTGTCCTGAGTCTAGCTTCCGGCTGGACTTGGAGCAGAGCTGTGGCCTCCATGGACCTGTGACCTGGGGCTCTGGGCCATGGGCTCCCGACATATCCAGGCCGGGTGTGAGGTCGTACCTGTGTGTCCAGGTGTCTCTGGACCAGTACCAGACGGAGGATGAGCTCTACCAGCTGTCCCTGCAGCGAGAGCCACGCTCCAAGTCCTCGGTGAGGGAGGGTCCCGGCTCGCCCCTCTGCAGCCTCTTCTGCCCCACCCCTGCCCTGCCGGGGAACCCCAGGTGTGAGGAGGTGGGGGCGGCTTCCTTGCCCATCCTGCTTGTTGGGCAGCTCCCTTCTTCCTGGGCCTCCCCACACTGCCCCCCTGGGCTCCTCTCCTCTGGCTCTCACTCAGGCCTGCCCATTCCCACAGCCGACCAGCCCCACAAGCTGCACCCCACCTCCCCGCCCCCCAGTGCTAGAGGAGTGGACCTCAGCTGCCAAGCCCAAGCTGGACCAGGCGCTCGTGATCGAGCACATTGAGAAGATGGTGGAGGTGAGACACTGGGCCGGGGCCGCGGGGCCGCGACAGCCCCGCAGTGGGCGTGAGGGGTTTGCCAGGCTCTGCCTGGGGCCTCCGGCAGGGCCACGGCCAGGGGTCAGCACACCGTCTCTGGAGGCGTGGACATAGCCAGGGGTGGGGCTGGGCAGGTGAGGTGGTGGGGAGACCCGGGGAAGTGGGCAGGACAGGCCGTGACCCTGTCCCCGGCCTGGGGCTTTCCTCTCTGCAGTCTGTGTTCCGGAACTTTGACGTGGACGGGGACGGCCACATCTCTCAGGAAGAGTTCCAGATCATCCGAGGGAACTTCCCTTACCTCAGCGCCTTTGGGGACCTCGACCAGAACCAGTGAGGAGGCTGGGGGCTGGGGAGAGGGCAGGCAGGCTCACTTCCCTCAGCGTGGCTTCCTCATGTGCAAGGCTGTGGAGGCCCCGAGGCTTGGCCCAGGTGCTCTTGGCAGGGGCACGCCCATGGGGTGGGCCTCTGGGCGCGGGCCGGGGTCAGACCCTCACTCAGGCAGATGTGCTGGGGGTCCCACGCGAGTCTTGCAGAGCAGTGGCCTGGGGGGCGGTGGCCACATCAGGCTGTTTTATTTGTGGCGTGCACAGCTGGCAGTGTGGGCAGTGAGCTCCTGGGCAGCCCGCTTTAATGACGAGATAAGAAAGGCCCGTAATTAGCAGCACCACTTGCTTATCAGCAGTTCACGCGCTGACAAGTGGGACAAACAGCTGGTTCTGGAAAGAAGGTTCAAGGAGCCCTGTGCCACCACAGCAGACCCCTGTTTCACTGAGCAGACAAATTTCCAGTCTAAATTTGCCTCCCATCCCAGAATGATGTATTTTTTTAAATGAAAACTAGATTTCAAAATTCTGTTTTTTTTCCTTCCATGTGACAGAGCTCTGTGGTTAAAAATAAAAAAATCCAGGTAATAAACTAGATTTATAGTGAACAGAGTGTAGCAAGTTGTGGAAAGCCCCCGCTGACCTGCGGCCCTGGGAGGTTTCAGCGCGCTTCCGGTGCTGCTGGCCGGACACCTGGGCCTCTCTCCCTCCCCCTTTCACACATGTGCAAATTGAGAAGGATTTTGTCTGTGTCTGTCTCATGGACAAACAGGATCAGACTACAAGTCTCGCTGTGCCAGTGGTGTGTGGTAGCAGCGTGGCCACCCAGCTGAGCCACAGCCCGGGGTTGGCTCCCCAGTGGGTTGGTCACATTTGTGGGGGTACAGCCTTTGGAGACCTCCAAAACCCCAGCTTCATGTGGCGGGCCCAGGTTTAACTCTCCACCTCTCACAAGCCTCAGCCTTGACCCAGCACCTACCTCACTCCCAGCTAAGAAGAGGGGGCCCGGTTCCCGCACCCCGGGTAACTCCCGTGTCCAGCCCCCACCGAACTGTTTCAGCTCGAGGCTCCCGCTCTGTTGCTGGAACTTGGGGGGTTTCCATTTCTTTCCTGCAAACTCTTCAATGCATTTAAAGGCCCTTTGGATATACTTTAGCCAGGCAGTAGGTATTTCTCATCTTACGGTTTCTGGTGTTTAATTTACAACATTTTGGCACTGCCTCGAAGGTCCTGTACGCTGGCCTTGGTTTTGTTCTTCACTTAACCCTTTATTAAGGGCCTCTCCCCAGGCCGCTGCCCCTGGCCCTGCCATGAGGCTGGCCTGTCACTCGCCCCGCCATCCTCCTGTTTTCCGCTATTAATATCCGCCAGGCCGCTGGGAACATCTTTGTGCCGATGCACTCAGACCACTATTTCTGTAGGAGAAATTCCTAGAAGTGGGATAATTGGATCAAAAGATATGCACATTCTAAATTAGGAGAGAGACTGCCAAAGTGACCTCAGGCAAGGTTGTGCCAGCCTGCACCCCCATCAGCAGCGTGTACCAGGGCCCATTTCCTGGCTTCCTTGCCAACACTGGATGCTATAATAAGCTTTACAATTTTGCCAGGCTAATTGGCAAAGGGTGTCTTGGTTAAATCCGCATTTCTTCAGTACTCGCAGGGGCAGGAGATCTCTTCGTATGTTTACTGGCCACTGATAGTTCTTGTGTTAACTGCCTGTTCACATTCTTTGTCCATTATCCCGCTGGGTTTGTTGGTCTTTTTCTCATTGATTTTTGAGCATCACTGTTAATGGATATTAACCCTTTGCTGTTGAATGTGTTTGCAAATATTTTCTCCCAGTCTGTCATTTATGTTGTCTTTTTCCATATAAAATTTGAAAAAAAATGTTGTGTGCTCAATATGTCAGTCTTTTTCTTTATGGCTTCTTGATTTGTGTTGTGTGTAGAAAGACTCTCCTCCCTCAAGATGACAAAATTATTCTCTTGTACCTTTTCAGATACTTTGATGCTTTTATTATTTATATTAGCGGGACAGTGGTTTTCCTGCCCAGTAGTATGGGATGGGCCCCGAAGTAGTTGTATCAAGGTCCCATTGATTGGAAAGACCATTTGGACTTATGGGGCCCCACCTGCAATGATGGGGGTTCCAACAAGGGCCAACCCTATGGAAATAACTCCTGCAGGTCGCACACTAACCATAGACGCTGTGGTAAATGACTGCTCTTCACTGTCTCAACCCAACAAAATCCCCTCTCTTATCTCCATCTCTGGAAGAGGAAACTGAGGCAGGGGAGATTGGCCAGGTGAGGTCACGTGGCCAGGAAGTAGTGGAGCTGGGATTTGAGCTGAACTTGTCTCCTCAGCACATACTCACTCTTTCTCCAAATGTACTGATAGGAAAGAGATTCCGTGGGGAGCGGAATCCCTAGCGCAGGTGTCTTTAGTGCAGGAAGATGCTGAGGGAGGCCTGCAGCTTTTCTTGGGTGCACCAGGGCTCTGGGTGCATCAGAGAGCTTCTAATCCCCAGGCGTCCTGACTGGGTGCCTCAGAACTTACTTTGGGAAAGGGAGGCTGATGGTCACATGGGAAAGTGCAGTTCATACCTCAACTCGGAGGAAGTGGGAGCCCAGGAAGTATGACCCCAGTTTTCAGGAGAGGAAACCCAGGGAAAGTGACTTGCCGAAGATCACACAGTCGCTGGTAGCAGTTGCCACATCCTCTTGCCTCCAAGCCTAGTGCTCTTTCTCTTCTTGCATCAGGGCTCCCAACGCCATTCAGCTGGAAGTCGGGGTGGGCTTTTTATTTGGTAGGGGGTTTTCCCAGTAGAATGGTTGTGGAAGGCCCCCTCTCCCCGCTGAGACGGTCCCCTGCCCTGGCAGGGATGGTTGCATCAGCAGGGAGGAGATGGTCTCCTACTTCCTGCGCTCCAGCTCGGTGCTGGGCGGCCGCATGGGCTTCGTACACAACTTCCAGGAGAGCCACTCCTTGCGCCCAGTTGCCTGCCGACACTGCAAGGCCCTGGTGAGCTCCCCAAGCCACACCCAGCCTGGCCCCGCCCACAACCCGCCCCAGCCCCGTCCATCAAGCCCCGCCCGCCCCTCAGGCCCCGCCCACCTCGCCTCCCTGCAGGCCCCGCCCACCCCACCTTCCCTGCCTTCCTGGGCCAGGTCAGAGCCCTCTCAGGCAAACCTTTGTTCCACCTGCCTCTTCTGCTGTAATGTTCTAACCCTGAAGCACCCTAGGGCCCCAGAGTGGGTCACTCTCAGTCCCTGCCCTCGAGGACAAAGTTGCCTCTCGACCCCTAAATTCCACCTTCCACAGAACCGATCCTCCTTTATTTCAGATCCTGGGCATCTACAAGCAGGGCCTCAAATGCCGAGGTGAGATGGCAAGATGGGATGGTAGCACTGTTGAGGTTTCATTTTTTAACCCCAAGTAACCCACCCACCTTATTTTGGTGGGTCATTTGTGATAGAGTCAAGTACTTTGCAGACAGGCATGATGATTCAAGAGCCTTCGCCAGCTTTTGTTTCGGCGAGGCAGTCAGGAACAGAGCACTTTGAAGGGGGCATATACTGGCAAGTAGTATGAAGAGAGCATGTTGTCAGGAGACTCTTATTTTGGTCGGGCAACCACTCAGCAGCAAAGGGGAGAGGTGTGGAGAGGGAAGGGGATGTGGTGTCCTGACTGATGGCCTGGCTGGCTCCCCTCCCACGCCACCAGCCTGTGGTGTGAATTGCCACAAGCAGTGCAAGGACCGCCTGTCCGTTGAGTGCCGCCGCCGAGCCCAGAGCGTGAGTCTGGAGGGGTCTGCACTCTCACCGTCACCCACACACTCCCATCATCGAGCCTTCAGTTTCTCCTTGCCGCGTCCGGGCAGACGAGGCTCCCGACCTCCAGGTAAGAAGGAGCGGAGTTTTCATTCTGGACTGGACTGTGGAAGGAGTGGGGGAGCGCCATTGTGGCAAAGTATTAACTTACTCACAGTAGCAGTCATTTCAGAGTTTGTTATTCTCTTATTTTGGTGGGGTGACCAGGAAGGTGAGGTGAGGGCGCCGGAATGTGTCCAGAGATCTTGAACATTTGAAACTGAGGAAGAAAGAGATTCTGATACATACAAAAGAATAAAATGAAGGAGGGTTCACAATTTTAGTAGAACTCTTATTTTGTTAGGGGGATTGACAATGGGTTGGAGAGGGTGTTATGTGAGCCACTTGTCTGCATACTCTGTTTGACTGCTCTGGAGACTGTTCTGACATCAATTCCCTGCCTCCCAAGTTTCCCTTGGCTCTCTTGGGTTTTGTGGTGGTTTTAGGTCAGTTTGCTGAATGACAATTTGCCAAGTGATTATTTTGCTGGGAACATTGACTGAATGAATGTGTTAAACTGGAGTCTAAAAGTTTAGATTGCCACAAATCCTCAAAACACAGATAGAAAAGATAAAGTCATTTGCATCGAGCCTTCCAGAAGTGCTGGGGTCTAAAATGTGAAATACACACAAAATTGATGTTGAAGCAAACTGCACTGACGAATCGGGCTGTGGAAAAGCTGCAGCAAAATAAAAACCTAGAAAGAGCCTCAGAAGCTGGGCCATTTGGTCATTCAGCAGACTGAGTTTGGTGGATGGGTCTGTTTCTGGGATGGGGTAGGGTGCATCCTGTGGGAGGGGGTGCCTGCTGAGAACACCTGGACCCAGGAGTCAGTCGGTGACCCTCCCCGCTCCAGAGATCCGAGAGGAGGAGGTACAGACGGTGGAGGACGGAGTGTTCGACATCCACTTGTAATCGATGGTGAGTCCTTGTTCAGCTAGAGCCAGGCCCCCCGGGAGGGCCTGGCCCACTGGCCTGGGACAGGTAGACTCGACTCGGGGGGTGGGTCCTTTCTCACAATCTGTTTTTCTCTTCTCAGCTGTGACTGGATCAAGCACTCAGGCCTGCCTTGGAGAAAAATTTGAGACCAGAGCAGGGGCCTGGGGCAAAGGCTGGGGCTGGGTGTGGGGCGTGAGGGTGGCATGTGGCTGAGGGCAGGGCCAGAGTTGGCATCCCTAAGGTTGTACAGACTCTTGTGAATATTTGGATTTCCCACATGGAAATAAAAGGCCCGTGTCATGCACCTGGACCGCGAGCCTCGAGTCCTCGGGTGAGGGAGCCGTTGCAGGGACTCGAATCTTGGCATCTAGAACTTTGTGTCAGAATTTTTTGGGAGGTCTGGAATCTCATGTGTCTGGAATCATGGGGAGACCAAAATCTTGGGAGACACATTCCTAGAACCAGAAAACCCTGGAAATAAGACTCTTGGGGTGGGTCCAGAATCGTGGGGGTCTGAAGTTGACACTAGCGTGTCTTTGTACCCAGAATTGCTGGGCCTGGTGTCGTGTGGGGCTGTCCCCTTCAGTCCTCAGTGGAAAGTCCTTGCAGCCCTGCTTGAACAATGGGGAGCTCACTGCTGAGAATTGGGCGGTGGCAGGGTGGGGCAGGGGAGTCCTGGCTGGGGGTGCAGGGGGCAGGCCAGGATAGCCTGCTTTCCTGCTGGGCTTGGGGCCACCTCTGGGTGGGGGCCACACTCTTAGGGCTTTCTGCCAGCCGGAAGGACAGTGACTTCCAGAGGAAATGCATATTGATCCTGCTCTCAGCCTCCGGCAGGCTTCTCCCAACCCGGCTCTCCCCTCCTGTGTTTGCAACACAGAGGTTTTGGGGGTCACAGCCCTCTCTTGGAGGCTAGGGCCACTTCTAAGGCTGGTCTGGGTTGAAAGGCTGGGGTGGGGGTCTTCTAAAGGTTGTCAAGGTGGATCAAGCCCCTCCTGGGGTCTGAAGACTCCAGGCAGCGGCTCTGAGGTGGGAGCTCCCTCCAGCTCCCCCCACAGCTGGGCTGAGCTCTAAAGCAGCTGTAGGACTGTCCCAGGGTGAAGCCCGACATCCCAGCTCCTACCTGCAAAGCAAAATAATCTGTGGATCTGGCAGCGGCCTCAGCCCCTCCCTCAGGGTTCTCAGGCCCAAAGCCCGGCTCTGCCGGGGGTCCCCGCTCCCCTTGGCCTACTCCATGTGGGGTCACCTGTCCTTCCATCCTGTGACTTCTCAGCAGCAGCCCTGCTTCCTGTTAGGCCCCGGCCCAGTGGGTCCCCAGTCTGGCCCTTCTCCCATCCTCAGCCCCCTCCTGCCCTTCCCCCTCTGGAGGCTGTAATATCCGTTTCATGATTTGGGGGCTGAGTTGCTATAACAACAGACGGCGATTGTGTTGTGAAGAGCAGCTAGCTCCCCGCGCCACCGCCTGCCTCCCGCGCTGCCTCCATCCCTGCAGTCTGGTCTGCTCCCCTCCCAGCCCCTGCTCCCCCCCCCCCAGTTCCAGCCTGGACGCTACCCAGCGTGTGCGCAAGCGTGCGTCCGCCTGGCCCGCGTGTGACGTGTGTCAGTCTTTCGTGGTTGCATGTGTGAATTTGTTGTTTGTGTGTGTCCTCTGTGCTCGGGGGAGAAGGGCCGCTTTGGGTGGGTGCTTGGGGAGGGTGCCGTGAAAGGATGGGCCCCAACTCCGTGTGAGAGTTGGAACTTGGGCCTGGGGGCGGGGAGGCATGCCTGGGGCTTTGGGGGGAGGGAAGTCCAGTAGCTGTCCGGTGACCTTTCCTGCCCTTGGTGGGCAAAGGTGGCTCAGGGGGCAGGGGTGGGGAGAGGAGTGTTGGTGCTCAGGCCTCCCTTCCCCTCCCCTGCCTCCACCTCACCCCTGCCCTCCTTAAAGGTCTGCGAGACTCTCTGTGAGTCGCTGCAGCTGTCTGTCTGTCCATCTGTTTCCTGGGTACCTGGATGGACAAGTCTGTGCGTGTGTCTGTGTGTGCACACTGGCGCAGCTGCAGGGAAAGGAGCATTGGGGGATGGGTGGGGCAGTGGGCTGTGGGCTCGGAGAGGTGATTTCACACCACAGGCCCTGACTCAGCAGTTCCCATTCTCTGGCTCCTCTAGTGGCCTTGGCAGGGCCAGCCTGAGGGTCTCTCCAAGGTCACAGGGGGTCCCACGCCTGGGACCTGGCTCAGGGCCTCTCTTCTGGGTCGAGGAAATGCCCCCTGCAGCACAGGCAGGGGTGAGCGGGTGTCCTGCTCATGTGCCTCTAAGTGCCCGTTCTGCCAGGGTGGTGGGTGTGCAGGTCCTCTGTGCACCTGTTCTCCTGGGCACACCTTTGCCTCCAAGTATGAAGGGAGCATGGACACAAGGGCAGCATGTGCTTCCTGAGGGCGTCTCCCATGGCGAGGCCTTTCCACAAGTGTCCCCGCGTGCCCCTTGGGGAGTGTCCCCGTGCGCCCCTTGGGGACGCCTGTGTGCCCAAGCTAGGTGGACAAGCGCCCTCGGCATGCATGTGCGCACGGTCGAAAGTGTGTCCCTGCGTGTGTGTTTTTGTGTGTATTTGCTCTGGCTGAGGAAGCACCAACTTCCCCCCGGGTGCGGCTCACAGACCCTGGTGCAACAGAATCCGGGGGCTTGGAGGGTTGAGCAAGCTGGTGAATGGTCTGGGGAAGCACACTGGTGTGCACGTGTGCACCCAGGGCCGCGCCAGAAACCCACGTCCAACTCGGCGCTACGCATTAGGTGCCAGGCCACCTTTTGTTGGCTGAGAGAGTGGAGGGGTCCCAGTCACCCCCACCGGTGCACATGCACAGTGATGCCCTGGCACTCAGAGGAAAGGCCTTCACCCAGCCCCACATTGCCGGAAACTCAGCCGGGGGAGGAGAGCACGTCCCCTCAGTGGGCTGTGCAGCAGTCCCGCCCCTAAAGCTATTCCTAATTCAGCCCGGGGCTCACACTCTGCCTTTCTCAGGAGGCGGGACTGGGAAACCCCAAGCCCTAGGTCTACCCCGCCCCCCTTGCCGTCTTCCCCTCCCCCACCGCCTCTTCCGGATCCCAGCCAAGACCCTCCCGGTGGCTTCGGAGTGCAGTCGGGAGACTCTGGGCGGTAGGAAACCGAGGCCCGGCTTGGTGCTGGAAAAGCCCCCAGCAGCCGCGGGCGGGGTCCCGCGGTCTCCGACTGCTGAAGTCTGGGCCCGCCCCTGGGCGTAGCCAGCAGAGGGCGCTGCGGCTCGGGGCCCCGCGCGGGTCCGGCTCCCTCGGTGTCCCAGGTTGGGGTCCGCAACCTCCTCTTCGCCTCGTCCCAGCCCTGGGGGCTGCCACAGGGGCTCCCTGAGCAGGGGATGCGGGACCTAAGGGCCCAACCCGATCGGCGAGAGGTTAGGGCGCCGGGTCCCCGGGACAGGGACTGGAGCCGTCGGGGGCCCGGGCGGGGCTACGGCCCGCGAGGGGCGGGGAGCTGGGGTGCCCGGGGCTCGGGACGCCTGGGTCCTCGGCTGGGCGGGTGGGGGTGCGTCTGTGGAGCCGCGGGACTGGCGGCTTCGGCGCCTTCGCATTGGCTGCGCGGCTCGTCAGTATCGCTGCGTGGCCCAATGCGCGCGCCTGGGGGCGGGCGCTGGTGCTGATGCTGCCGTCAGTCGGTGTTGCAGGGATGCGGCGGCGGGAGCAGCCGCCCTGACTAGCGGAGCATCCTCCTCCGAGCGGCACCGCGGCGGGGCGGGCGGACCGGCGGGCGAGCTGGGCTTGGTGGGCGCCATCTTCCTGCTATTTTTTTTCCTCTCTTACTTTTTGCCTCGCTCCCCCCTCCCGGGTTGGGGGGCGTGGGGAGGG